ATATACACACACACACACACACACACACACACACACACACACACACGCACACGCACACATATATATGGCTCTCACTGAAATACATTTCCAAATATTTTGCTTTTATGGCTCTCTTAGTCAAAAAGGTTCCCGACCCCTGTTCTAATCAAACCGGATGGCCGAAGTCCCGACGCTAACTAGCTACTCGCCAAATATTCAACAGTTACACCGCCCAATCAAAAGTACGTCACACGTCTCTTCATTGACTTAACCTCAACACACACACACTTATATATAAAATTTGCTTTATTTCGACTGGACTGCTGTCCTTAAATTTCATATCCACTGCAATGAATGGTGAGCAAATTCCTCCTCAACTGCTGTGGTCCCACCTGCACACCACATCTTTGTCTGTTTCTTTTTGATGTCGTCTTGTTTGAAATGCTCAGGAAGATTGTCTTTACCTCAGAAATAAGAAATGAAGAATGTATGTAATCTTTGGGGTGTCAGTGGTGAGAAGCGAGGAGAAAGCCTCTTAAAAGGCACTGCAGCTGGGCTTTTATCCTCAGGAGAGAAACTTGAATATGGTACAAGAGTCACATTGAATGTAATTCAGGTATTTCAAAGGATATTTGACGCCATAAATCCATTTATGATATATATATATATATCTATGTATATATGTTATTGTCTTTTTTTTTAGCTTTCTGTCCTTTGTTTGTTGTAGGTGATTGTGGGATAATGATTGTCTTCAAGAAATACTAATGTCAGATACAGAACTTCATTTTTGTTGCACAAACTGCTTTTTTGTTCAAGTTTACAATGAGAAAATGACATCATGCAGCTTTCAGGAAAGTCCAAAGTGAATCCAACACAACATAAATCATCACCCTTCATCGCAGTTATGCTTGCTTTCAGAGGGTCCGGTTTTCCATCCTTCTCTCCATTTTTAATAGCATTAGGGTTGTGGGTGAGCCAGTTGACTTTGACAACAGTTTACACACTGAAGGGAAAATGTGGACTTTTCTGTTAACTGAGATGATTTGGGGCAAGAAATGTGAGGTAAACCCCGGGCTGTTTGCCAGTCAATCGCCGAGCACAAACAGCCACTCCCACTCGCATTCACACCAGTGAACATTTTACAGGTCTTAACTGAAGAGGACCTGGTGAAAGATAAGGGGCACACCATGAACTGCTACATACAATGAATGGGCAAAAGTCTTGGGTCACGGTAACTAATCATTTATTGTTCTCAGAATCAGAAGTCAATCATGGGCTGGATTAGACAAGCCACCCCCACTCCAATTCCCATCCTCTCACACCTCACCAACCTTCTCCATCCTCTGTCTAAAAATTTTGAGGCAACAGGGTTTTTTTCTTTTTCATCAGGCACGCTTCGATGAGTTTCATGAGATAGAACACAAAAGCCCTGACCTCCCTGTATGAGATGAACCTTCTTCCATTTTCACTGCCTTACAATACATTCTACAGTGTTGTAGACATTTGTCCATATTCCACCGCCACCTGATGAGAATTACTGGTCTGACCCCAATTTTTCCCTTTCTCCATAATTTTTTGCTCTTTCTCTTGCAATGTCCTCCTCCTCCACAAGGTACAGTGGCCAAAATTGTTGGTACCTCCTCCCCTCTGTTAATGAAAGCTGACAAATAAATAAATAAATAAATAAATAAACAAACAAACAAATATTTACCAATGAAAAACAGAATCATGAAACATGACAGGGCGACTTACTGCAAGTGTTATAGACACACTTAATTAGAGGACACACCTTGGTCGAACATGTCCCTACGGTGAAATTTTTTTCAGTCTTTTCCGTGGGTTGGAGTTACTTTTGTCCAAGCCTGTTTCACAAGTTTCTCCCCCTCCCCCACTCCCCAATAATTCTGTTGTGCCACAGTCCAAAAGCGATGTCTTATTTTCTTTGATCAATTTTAATTTTTATTATTTTTCCCTTTCTTTTATCATCATTATTTTATTATATATCATCTTTTTTTTCTTTCATTAATAGAGGGCTACCTACAATTTTGTTTTTGTGTATCTTCTCCCCTGCACCCTCGGGCAGCTTCGCCTTCCCTGAAAATACTGTGATTGACATTTGAGTCAGGCCAACGCATCAGGTCAATCACAGTGACTAGCCTGTATAGTGGCAAGTGATCACTCCAACAAAGTCAAATTTGTGATTAATGATGACATATTCACTAAGACTCATAGCAAGAGTAGTTTGTCCAACAAAAACATTGTTTTTACTTTTACACTTTTGTTTGCATCCGTAAAGTTGTTCTTGTATGATTTCTGTAACAATTTCTACCTCTTATTTTTTGCAGCATATTGTACATGAAAGTATTTATTTCATGTCTTTTGTTGATGTTGCTGATTTTTGGAATTGTTCATGTTCTTGAACTGTCATGGTCTACCTCAGAAAAAAAGACTGTATTTTAAAGAGTATCACACAAATATTAAACAGAATTTGTCAATGTTGCACACCACGTAATGCTTTGCTTATTTTTATGATCTTGAAACTGAGACTGTGCCATTGTGATGTATCATGTTGCGATTACTCGGCCTTCTAAAATTAACTTTACGAAAGTTTGAAGCAGATCACTCATATCGCTTTTGCTTGACTGCTTTTTTTTTTTAACCAAAACGGTCTTGAAAATGAACTTCACGAATGTTTTAAGCAGATGATTGACAACAAAATAAAAACACAGTTACCCTATGATGCATGCACACTAAAATCGGATATGCCAATGGTTTTAAATATGCAAAGAGCAATAAATAGGTCCTCACATTCCCTTTTTCGTGGCCAATCCTTCAAATGATTATCAAAACTTGGACGCTGGGCTCCATCCACATTAGATTGTATAGGCTAAGCTAATTTAACTTCACTCATCTGTCTAGGATACTGTACCTTTTTTCGGTTGGAGGTTGATCAGTGAAACAGATGCTGGGGGCTGATTTTGAACTCATCGGAAGAAGAAGAAGAATACAATGATTCCTGGAGGGTCTTTGCATCGCCTGCCGCTCAAGACACTAACAATTAATTATTTTCAATTAGATGCCGATATAAAGACAATGTTTTTATGTCACAAACTTGTGGGAAAGAAAGTATCCTTTAATTCTGTTATCTGCCCGTAAAACCTCAAACAACTGGTGACATGCGGCTAACCCGGTGCCACAGTTTCCAGAAAATAGGTCGCAAGACTGACAAAGTTCAACAAAGGACGCTGGTGAAAGACCAGGAAAATGAAACAACCCAAAACACTTGGAAAAGCCAAAGACAAAATATAAATGGAAATAGCTTGGCAATAAATAGACAAGAAGAACCCAAAACGCATATGACACAAAAAAACGTGACAAATAATTACAATGAAAAACTACTTACAAAGGTAAGTGCAAAAAACATGGCAGAACACGGAACATCTAGAAAGGCGGAGCACCAAAGGTAGACCGAAAAGAGGTCTGCACAGGAGATTCATCTTTTTTCGCGTAAATAAGCCTTCATTATTTTTGCATTACATATATTTATTAAGGTGGCCCTGTGGTCAACTGGTTAGCACGTCGCCCTCACAGTGCAGAGGTCGTGGGCTCGATCCCGGCTCCGGCCTGACCTATGTGGAGTTTGCATGTTCTTCCCGTGCCTTCGTGGGTTTTCTCCGGATACTCCGGTTTCCTCCCACATTCCAAAAATATGCATGGCACGCTGATCGAACACTCTAAATTGTCGCTAGGTGTGAGTGTGATCGCAAATGGTTATTCATCTCTGTGTGCCCTGCGATTGGCTTGGCTACCGGTTCAGGGTGTCCCCCACCTACTCCCTGAAGCCAGTTGGGATCAGCTCCAGCACCCCCTGCGACCCTAGTGAGGATAAAGTGGATCAGAAAATGGATGAATGGATGGATAGATTTATTTATTAACATACTTTACAAACCTTTATTATCGATTTTAACACTGATATTATCATAAGTCCTATTATTATGATTTTTTTTTTTCCTTTTATGAGCTTGATTATTTTTGGGTGAGCCCCCAGGCTGTTGGTGCCCGATTCGCAGTGCATGATTAACGTATGCCGAGTGCCGTGCCTGCTCATACCTCACATTTCCTTCTTCCAGGACTTCTACCAGGAGTTTCCTCACAAGTGGTGCGTGTTGAAGGTGGAGTCACTGTTGTGAGTGTGTTTAGGTCCTTGATGTTGTCAGTTTCTATGGTTCTTTATTTTGTCACACAGCGCTGGGTACGGCATGGTATCCATCAGTATTGAAGTTTAAGTTGCTCAATGACAGTTGCCAGAGCATCTAGTTTTCTTGCATGCAATGTTGTGTCCAGGCCTGCTTTCTGTTACTTTTTAGTTTTGTACAAAAACATTCACTTTTACACTTCTGTATCCTGTCTGTTTCTTG